AACAGTCACATCAAATAAATACAAGAAATCAAACCAATGGTGCAACTTATTTCTGTCGGATCTGGTGCTCTTGAGCCCTAGAGGAGATAGTACCAGGAACTTTCTCAAGGATTGGGTTCCAAGTCCATCGAAATAAGGGACCCAAGAACAGCCAGCTTTATGATGAAGAAATCTTAATATATCGGCCTCCAAACCCACTGTTGAAATAGGTTCAGTACAGAAACATCTTCAATGCTTGCCGTTGTTTTTCAACAGTGGATTATCATCACGCACACACACTCACACACAGAGGTATGCAACTAGGCTAGTCCCAGAACTAAGAGGCATGAATTACGAGGAAACGCTGCGTGAAATGCACCTCACGACACTGGAAGACAGAAGAGTAAGGGGAGACATGATCATTACCTACAAAATTCTCATAGGAATTGATGGGGCAGATAAGGATAAACAGTTTAACAGAGGTGGTACGCGAACAAGGGGACATACGTGGAAACTGAGTACCCAAATGAGCCACAGGGACGTTAGAAAGAACTTTTTCAGTGTCAGAGTAGTTAACAGGTGGAATGCACTAGGCAGTGATGTGGTGGAGGCTGACTCCATACACAGTTTCAAATGTAGATATGATAGAGCCCAGTAGGCTCAGGAATCTGTACACCAGTTGATTGACAGTTGTGAGGCGGGACCAAAGAGCCAGAGCTCAACCCCCCCCCCCTCTCCAGCATAATTAGATACCCCTGTTCACCTAGCAGTAAATAGATACCCAGGAGTATAGTCGGCTTGTTTTTGGGGGGAGGGGGAATACCTCGATATAGGCCTACTGTGTATGTGTATTATATATATATATATATATATATATATATATATATATATATATATATATATATATATATATATATATATATATATATATATATATAAAACATAATGAACCTAATCTGGAGCATAAGACTCCAATAACACAACTCGGTGTAGAATGATTGACAGGGGCGGCAGCTGTCAGTCTGGTAATACCTGGCGTGTTTATCAGACGTTCCAGGTATCTGTCCAGCTTATCTACCACCTAAAATAATGTTTGATAGCGGCTAATATCTGGGGGTTGATCCCAGAGGCCGACGCGGCCTCTCCTTGAATCATAGGTGTGGTGAGTCGAGTATTTGAGGTCGAGTCTCAGCGGTCGAGGGCGAGGTTGATGCCTGTATTCGGCTACTGCTTATGTGGACTCTTCCATGTGGTTGGGGACTTGAATTGTCCCTGGGGTGATGTTGGTTGATTCTCGCCATGAGGCGGGATCTTTGTTTGATCCTGTGATTATTCTGGATCCTGCGGTGTGGCAGGTTCCTGTGTGGTGTGACAGGTTCCTGTGTGGTGTGGCAGGTTCCTGTGTGGTGTGGCAGGTTCCTGTGTGGTGTGACAGGTTCCTGTGTGGTGTGACAGGTTCCTGTGTGGTGTGGCAGGTTCCTGTGTGGTGTGGCAGGTTCCTGTGTGGTGTGGCAGGTTCCTGTGTGGTGTGACAGGTTCCTGTGTGGTGTGGCAGGTTCCTGTGTGGTGTAGCAGGTTCCTGTGTGGTGTGACAGGTTCCTGTGTGGTGTGACTGGTTCCTGTGTGGTGTGACAGGTTCCTGTGTGGTGTGACAGGTTCCTGTGTGGTGTGGCAGGTTCCTGTGTGGTGTGACAGGTTCCTGTGTGGTGTGACAGGTTCCTGTGTGGTGTGACTGGTTCCTGTGTGGTGTGACAGGTTCCTGTGTGGTGTGACAGGTTCCTGTGTGGTGTGGCAGGTTCCTGTGTGGTGTGGCAGGTTCCTGTGTGGTGTGACAGGCTGGTTGGATGACTGCGTATGGTTATTGGTGATGGAATGTCTCTCGCAAGGCCGCGGCGGTATTTGATCTGTAAGTACTTAGGAACCTGTACAACTTTTCTCAATCTTTGGCGGCTTTGTTTACATTTATTAAACAGTTTACGAGCATCGTAACTTCGAAATCCGATGTTGTTATTGTTATAAACAACCTCGTAGTGCTCCAGGGATCATAAACTGTTCAATATATGTAAACATAGCCGCCTAAGATTACAAAAGACGTAGAGAGGCCCTCTTCAGTCCCGCTAAAGCTGTAACGACCTCTTAAAGACACAACTGGTGATTCAGATACTCTCACGTGAAGCCTCTGGGAAGACGGGTCACTCGGAGAGACAAAGGCGATGATGACCCCTCCACCAAAGTTAACACAAAGATCAATATAGTCTATCAGCATATGTGAAGATTTCACTCAAGTGGCTATATTTTCACTATATTGGCTTCAGGCAGTGATGCTTTGGTAAAACATGGTAGACACGATCTACTCAGCATTTGATCAATATGTTAGGCATGATCTACTCAGCATTTGATCAATATGTTAGGCATGATCTACTTAGTATTTGACCAATATGGCTGATACGATCTACTTGTCATTTGATGAATATGCTAGACATGATCTACTTAGTATGTAATCAAATCCTATACTCAATTGGACTGGAAATGTGTATATATATAGAAGGCCTTTACGCTGTTGATCACAATAATCTTAAACTACGGAGTAAGTGATAAGTCAGGCTAGCTTAGGGTACGGTAGCTTAGGTTTAGGTTAGGTTACGGCCACCTTAGCTTTAGTCTCGTTAAGTTTAGCTTAGGGTAGGTTAGCCAAGGCTTCGTTAAGGTCAGGATTCTAGTTAGGTACAAATAGTAATATTTTCAGTCACAAACGACCCCTCACAGCTGCTAAGCTGCCTGTGATGTCATCCCTTTAATCAAACAGGTGCTGTACACATCTCCTATTTCTAAGTGCTTTGCGCTAGTTTCTAAACGAACGCACATTTTAAAGTTACGACTTGTTGTGCTCATCTAGACTGACAGTGTGTATCGATAATTTAAAGTATCCAAACTATTGGGAGGCATCCAAACAACATAGGTGGCCCTAGCATCATGTGATTTCACCGACCGGTGAGCCTATCGCCAGCTAGCTAGCTAGCGCTCGGGCGCGCGCGCGCGCTCTCTCTCTCTCTCTCTCTCTCTCTCTCTCTCTCTCTCTCTCTCTCTCTCTCTCTCTCTCTCTCTCTCTCTCTCTCTCTCTCTCTCTCTCTCTCTCTCTCTCTCTCTCAATTTCTGTTTCGTATAAATTGTCAGTTTAACTTTTCAATTTGCTTTTTTCTTATTGTAACACGGATTAGGGTCCTCTCTCTTTACTTCCTTCTTTCTACTACTCCTCTACCCGTTATTCTTACTTTTATTTCTAAACCAGGGACTCCAAAACTTTTAACAAGCCAACTCCACGCCACGTGGTCTAAGACGATGACCGACTTAGGATTCTACACCAGTATGACGTGACCTAAGCTCTGAACAAAACCCTAGAGTCACCTCTGCTGCCACCACCAGACCAGTAATACAAGAGCAATGATCGAGGTCTGGATCGATCACGCTATAATCAACCTGCAAATAAAACGATGACCTTGAATAACAAATTTAATTTATTAAAAGAAAACTAAACACAAAATCTAAATATGTTCAATATGTTCACTCCCTATCACTTTAACACTCCCTACTTGACCTGAGTGGCAAATGAGAAGACTATTTCTACACTTAACAATAGCAACTATACCTTGGGCGACCACCTAGATGTTTTGGTGGTCTTGGGGAGAGGTAAGATGTTTGACCTCTTATCCCAGCTGCTACCGTTTCCACACTGATTTGTCCTCGTCTGGCCTAGCCCAGACTAGAACCTTGTATCCTTCCGCCTAGTCAAAGTTTTACCAAGTTACTAGCCAGGTTTAAGTTATAACAATTAACCTCTGTTGTACTTAATTGATCCAGACTGGTTGAATTATTTTACTGAAATAGATTACACAAACATCTAACGGCAAAGCTGTTCCCGATCACAAAAATGGTTATTAAAACTTTGAGAAATAGTAGACCTGTCAACCCTGATGACCTATGACCGCCGGTCACTCCGCCTCAAAAGTTAGATCTGATTCGTGACGTCACTGATGGTGACTTAAACTCATAATTAGAATACTCTTGATATTGTATCGGTACTATTATACAATACAATTTTAATGCAAATGAATAAAGGCTAATTTTCTCTAAATTACTGAATACTATAGGATGAGTCATTATACGCAGCTTTGAACAAAGCGTCGGTTATTTCCACCGCGAATTCCCCTGGGGGTCAGGTCACCATGCGGCTCAGCTTCCCATTCTCTTTTGTCGATAAACCACTCTGGATAATTCTTACAACAGCCTAGTTTGTTACATTATAAGTTGTCAGTTAAGCTTTTTTCAATATACTTTTTCTTATAAAATGAAAACTGCACTGAAGTGTTTAGCTAATATTAATTTCAGGCGCAAGTTGTGCATCTTGAGTCATACTCGAGAGTTACACACGTATAAAAGTAGTTCTTGAACTCATTCCTCCATCACACTCGAGCGAGAAACATCGTGAGTCAACGAGATGACATATTGTGTTTTAACCTTCACTCTAAAATACTCCAAATTACAACATTAGTCAAATTCAAAAATATACAAATCAGTGACAAAGAGACTACTTAAACAAATATCTAATGGAAACCTTACTAACCTAACAAATTAACAAAGTTGTAGCATTAGACATTATGATAAATATTGTGAGGAGACATTCACATATGGGACTAATAGAGCAAGAACCCGGCAATGTGATGTTATAGTGGCTAGAATACGCCTGGGATATAGACGTATCTGGCAGCTTTCTCAAAACCCAAATGTCGAGTACACAATGTGTCAACTTTGTGAAAGAAAAAACATGCACTCTCTTGAACATTATATTGTAGAATGTCCCATATTGACTGACTTTCGCCTTCCTGGGCTAAGGTATGCTGAACTCTATAACTACTATATGAGTACTGGAACACTTGATGATACTTGTACTTGATGGACTTGTACCCAAGATAGACTATGGTATACATCTGTTAAACAATGTATGTAATTATAACCTGAGCTTGTCAGTCACCCTCAGTGGTTAATTGTTTAAAAACACACTAGTTTCTATAGAAGCTATCTTACCTTGTCAAAGTAAGAGACATAGGTGTATGTATATGTATGTGGAAATGTATATGTGCATATATGTATATGTGCATATATGTATATGTGTAAGCTGGTCAGAATTGCATTTCGCCTTTGTAAACACTCATTAATGACGCTATGTAAAAAGACACATTGAACACTGTAGGACAGACTTAAATCTGTGTATTTATGTATGTAGGTTAGATTAGCATTTTAAAAACATCACAATCACCTTATATAGTTGATTGTTCAATTAATCCCTGAACTATATGTTTAACAGATCTCTCACCCTGTCCATGGAAGACAGAAGAAAATGTATATATGGTTAGCATTGCAAATGTGTGGACAAGTCTGTGGTAGAAAATAATAATAATAATAATAAATAAAAATTACTTGTTGCCCGCCGGGTTATTGGGAGTTGTACGCTCCAGACAAATTATATACCAATTTTACGCTTGTGTGATTTCTCTCCAATAAAACCTAAGGTACTCAAAGAGAGGCTAAGCTTCTTGCTTGAAATTAAAACCAGGATATAAACAACAATATTACTGAGAGCAAAACAAAGGTGATGTTTACATGTGATCAACAGCTGGCCTGTTAGCGTCTTTAACATAGCAAATATTTAACCAAATATAATTTAATATGAAACAGTAAATAACAGTTTGTTTTTTTCTCTCTTTCGTGGCGACGTTCACAGCGTGGGGTGAGCGGGAGGATGCAGCTCAATAGGCGAGGTGCGGCCAGCCACAGCACCAGCAGGAGTCCATGTAGCGTTGTGGTCCGGCCTGCCCCTCCTCCTCCTGCTGCTGCTGCTGCCGCTGCTGCTGCTGTCACCGGCCGTGATACACAGCACGTCCACACCACCACCCAGGGTAAGTGGCACCTATCCTCTGGCACCTCTCATCGTGGCACCCATCCTCAACTGTCGGAGCATTTTGTCGCGTAAATATATACAAAAACAGGTCATAAAGTCCCTGTTGATGTGAGGGCATGACACAACAGGAGGGAGGGGGGGGGGAAGGGTCCTATTTACGTGAAAGTATTACCTAACACAGCCATCATGTGTTACACACTATACATGACTTTAAGCCATGTATACTGAGGTATTAGGACACACGAGCTCCAGCCATGTATACTGTGAAGTCCTGAATTGTATTGCAGTTGTCTTTAATGTTGACCAGACCACACACTAGAAGGTGAAGGGACGACGACGTTTCGGTCCGTCCTGGACCATTCACAAGTCGATTGTCAAGTCACAATCGACTTGTGAATGGTCCAGGACGGACCGAAACGTCGTCGTCCCTTCACCTTCTAGTGTGTGGTCTGGGCAACATACTTTAGCCACGTTATTTTGACTCATCGCTGCACAGGAGTCTGCAAGTCCGTCAGCGTATTGACGGTCAGGTAACTACCATCTCGCAGACTCATACACCTTCATACTCGTTGTATACATGTTCTGCTGGTGGAAAATTAATGTTTTTTAATTATCAGCGGGAAAGCGCCAAGCAATTACGACTATATAGCACTTGGAAGGGTCAGGATAAGAATTCGGGATGGGACACGGGGGAGGGGGAGGAATGGTGTCCAACCACTTGTGGACGGTCGGGGATTGAACGCTGACCTGCATGAAGCGAGACCGCGTCGCTCTACCGTCCAGCCCAAGTGGTTGGACGGATAGTTACAGTGCGTCTTGTCTGCAAGACTGTCACCCCCCCCCCTTTCGCGTTACCTTCTTAGTCGTCCAAGTTGTTATGTCTTAACTACCGTGTTATCAAGTCTTTAAATTACGCGAGTTATTAAGTCTTTATTTGTACATCTTAGTTGTAAGCTTTAGTCTTACGTGAGATATGAAGTCTTACCAAAGTTGTCAAGTCTTACCTGAGTTGTCAAGTCTTACCTAAAGTGAGTTATCAGGTTTTATCTTACGTGAGTTATCAAGTAATACCTTAAGTGAGTTATCAAGTCTTATCTAAAGTGAGATATCAAGTCTGATGCAGGTGAAGGAAAGGCCCAATATATGTATAAATGTATTAGAAACCCAATTTTCGGATGTAATCTACACCCTTCCTCAAGGATGTAGGTTGTATACATTGTATTCATCACCTTGAGAAAGGATGCAGGTTACATCCAAATTGTTGTATTTTAATACATTTATATACATATATTGGGCCTTTCCTTTATTTTAATTCAAACATTAAGGCATTGTTTTACGTTATTCCATCAAGTCTTACCTTACGTGAGTTATTAGTCTTACCTTACGTGAGTATGAGTTATCAAGTCTTACCTTACATGAGTTATTAGTCTTACCTTACGTGAGTATGAGTTATCAAGTCTTACCTTACATGAGTTATCAAGTCTTACCTTACATGAGTTATTAGTCTTACCTTACATGAGTATGAGTTATCAAGTCTTACCTTACATGAGTTATCAAGTCTTACCTTACGTGAGGATGAGTTATCGAGTCTTACCTTACGTGAGGATGAGTTATCAAGTCTTAACTTACGTGAGGATGAGTTATCAAGTCTTACCTTACGTGAGGATGAGTTATTAAGTCTTACCTTACGTGAGGATGAGTTATTAAGTCTTACCTTACGTGAGGATGAGTTATCAAGTCTTACCTTACGTGAGGATGAGTTATCAAGTCTTACCTTACGTGAGGATGAGTTATCAAGTCTTACCTTACGTGAGGATGAGTTATCAAGTCTTACCTTACGTGAGGATGAGTTACCAAGTCTTACCTTACGTGAGGATGAGTTATCAAGTCTTACCTTACGTGAGGATGAGTTATCAAGTCTTACCTTACGTGAGGATGAGTTATCAAGTCTTAACTTACGTGAGGATGAGTTATCAAGTCTTACCTTACGTGAGGATGAGTTATTAAGTCTTACCTTACGTGAGGATGAGTTATTAAGTCTTACCTTACGTGAGGATGAGTTATCAAGTCTTACCTTACGTGAGGATGAGTTATCAAGTCTTACCTTACGTGAGGATGAGTTATCAAGTCTTACCTTACGTGAGGATGAGTTATCAAGTCTTACCTTACGTGAGGATGAGTTATCAAGTCTTACCTTACGTGAGGATGAGTTATCAAGTCTTACCTTACGTGAGGATGAGTTATCAAGTCTTACCTTACCTATGGATAAGTTATCAAGTCTTACCTTACCTATGGATAAGTTATCAAGTCTTACCTTACCTATGGATAAGTTATCAAGTCTTACCTGAGAATTAAGTTATCGAGTCTTACCTGAGAATTAAGTTATCGAGTCTTACCTTACATGAGTATGAGTTATTTAGTCCTACCTGAGGATGAATGATTAAGTCTTACCTGAGGATGAGTTATTTAGTCTTACCTTACGTGAGGATGAGTTACCAAGTCTTACAGGACCCAGGCTAAACTAGTTCCACGGATGGTTTAGCGTGTAAGGTAACAGTTGCTACACTCTGGCCGCCCACCGGAGACACCACAGCAACAAATAGCAGTAACGAAAGAGGCCTCACGATAATATTTAGCCAATTGAATTCTGTAAAGAGATAAAGGCGTGACTAGGCGTTCCTGTACCCATCATTGGGCCACCCTTTGGACTATGCCCCCCACCCCCACCCTTCCCCTAACCCCCACCCCAACCCCTTCCCTAACCTCACCTCTCTTCCTCCTATCTACCGGTCCTGTCAATTAATGGGTCTTGTTTCTATAACTGCACACCCTATTTACAAAAGTCACGGCTCGCATATACGTTTTCTATGCATCGGACTCGATATAGGTTAGGTGGGTGGGTTGGGTTTGTACGTTTGTAGTTCAATCTGTCCTATAAAGAACGTCGCGTTTCGCTCGTATGCGTCGCATAAAGCCAGCAATTGTCGTACTCTAAAACGGAAGCGGCTGGCGAAAGTGACGTACTGTCCCGTTTTCTGTTTTGGGTCCTCTGGTAGGTTAGGAGAGGACACGTTACATTGACCGTTTTCTTGACGTTGTGGAACATTAGAAGGACAGGCTGTCTGGTTAGGCTAAAAGGTTGGACGTTTTACAGAGCGGCAGACTTATGTAAACTGGCTGTAGTTTCACTTTACTTATGTAAACTGGCTGTAGTTTCACTTTACCTATGTAAACTGGCTGTAGTTTCTGTAACCCATTCTGTACCTGTGTAATGTAGCGTAAACCCATCCTTTTTTTACACTACAATACACGTGAAAAATATATTGGAAATAATAGGGGGTGTTTTGACATGTCGCCAGCTTCCTGTCCCCGTCGAGGCCACCAGAGGTGATACTCAGGCAAATGTAGGTAAAGAAATGATGTTCACGACGTGTATGATACTTTTGACTTCTTTCTGCACTCTTGCCTGTTGTTGTTGTTTAAGATTCGCTACTTGGAACAAAAAGTTCCAAGTAGCACGGACTATGGTGAGCCCGTAGTGGACTAGTTCACTCTTGCCATGGCTCGACGTCAGGTGCTAGAGCAAGCATCCACTATATGAGAAGATATGGAGACTATACGATGGGCTCGAACCTGCGGCTCTGAACTTCGCAAGGATACGGATTTTATTCCATAAAATATTGTTGTGATTTCATTGTGCATCGGCTGTATGTTCAAGAACATTATTGCAGAGCCTTGCAAACCTGAAGCTTATGGAACACTGCAACTTGTCATTCAGTTTAATCACCGTGAGGGTTGATTAGCAAGAGAAGTGGTGAATCTTGAGAGTGCGTGGGATTTATCAGTGTTTAGAAGTGTAATGTGAGGCGGTAAGTGTGTCTTGGGGTGAAGGTACACTACACGAGATTATCTTGGCTCATTGGTGAGATTACCTGATGCTAATCTCACCCTTTTTTCTTCTCTCCATCCTTACTCTCTCCTCCCTCCCACCTTCCTACCCTCCCTCCATCTATCTCTCCCTGCCTGTGGGCAACCTTCCTTGTACTTCATACCATGTATGGTGATACTGATTTTATATATAATAAATGCTTTTAATATTATTATTATAGCTATTATTAATTTGTATTTTGTTCCACTTCCTCTGCCAATACTTAATGTATGATAATTTGACAGCACAATCACTGACAATTGGGTAGTTCAATTATCAGTGAGGCGGTGAGTGACGATGTTCCTTGGATGTTACAGCTTGGATGTTGATGGGGGATAGTTTGGTGTAGTACTCTGTAATTTATACGTTGGAGCCTATAACGTATAAAATGCGACTTATATGCAGAGAGAACTAGTTGAGCCATTAGTGAATGTGACCTAGGAAGATGATGTTGAATTCTCCGACTGGGGGGGTTGATTGAGGAGGGGGAGGTGTGAGGGGGGGAGGGGGGTGAGCGACAGATCCGGGGAGTGCTAAGGGGGAACAGGTGTAAGTGAGTGTTCACCACCAAGATAAGGGAGATAAGGGTTATCAATAGGGGGGGGGAGGGGGTGCGGGGTGTAGCGGGCGAGAAGGGCATGAGTTCACGGTTAAATATAGTGCGTTAGTTTGGTCCTGACAAGTGTATGTGTGGCAGGTATGCCTTGGTTTACGGGCGGTCTTGCACGCACGCACACGTATGCACGCACGCACACGTATGCACACACACACACACACACACACACACACACACACACACACACACACACACACACACACACACACACACACACACACACACACACACACACACAGAAAAGGGTTGAGAGGGGGGACCAAAGAGACAAAGCTCAACCCCCGCAAGAACAACTAGGTGAGTACATATTTTTGGATTGCCAGAAAGCCTTTGACACAGTACCACACAAGAGGCAAGTGAAAAAGCTGGAGATGCAGGCTGGAGTGAAGGGGAAGGCACTCCATTGGATAAGGGAGTACCTAAGCAATAGAAAACAGCGAGTCACTGTGAGGGGTGAAGTCTCAGATTGGCGAGATGACACCAGTAGAGTCCCGCAGGGTTCAGTCCTTAGACCTTTACTGTTTCTGATATATGTAAATGATCTCCCAGAGGGTATAGAATCGTTCCTCTCATTGTTTGCTGATGATGCAAAAATTATGAGGATTAAAACAGAGGAAGATAGTAGAAAGCTACAAGATGACCTAGACAGACTGAATGAATGGCCCAACAAATGGCTACTAAAGTTCAACTCGAGTAAATGCAAGGTAATGAAACTAGGTGGTGGAAACAGGAGGCCAGACACAGGATACCGAATGGGTGATTAAGTACTTCATGAAACAGACAGAGAGAAAGATCTAGGAGTTGATATCACACCAAACCTGTCTCCTGAAGCCCACATAAAAAGAATTACATCTGCGGCATACGCGAAGCTGGCTAACATCAGAACAGCGTTCAGGAACCTGTGTAAGGAATCATTCAGAACCTTGTATACCACATATGTAAGAGCAATCCTGGAGTATGCGGCCCTAGCATGGAGCCCGTACCTTGTCAAGCACAAGACGAAGCTGGAAAATGTTCAGAGATATGCCACTAGACTAGTCCCAGAACTAAGAGGCATGAGTTACGAGGAAAGGCTGCGTGAGATGCACCTCACGACACTGGAAGACAGAAGAGTAAGGGGAGACATGATCACTACCTACAAAATTCTCAAGAATTTGACAAAGTAGATAAGGATAAACTTTTTAACACGGGTGGTACGCGAACAAGGGGACACAGGTGGAGGCTGAGTACCCAAATGAGCCACAGGGACGTTAGAAAGAACTTTTTCAGTGTCAGAGTAGTTAACAGATGGAATGCATTAGGCAGTGATGTGGTGGAGGTTGACTCCATACACAGTTTCAAGTGTAGATATGATAGAGCCCAGTAGGCTCAGGAACCTGTACACCTGTTGACTGACGGTTGAGAGGCGGGACCAAAGAGCCAAAGCTCAACCCCCCGCAAGCACAACTAGGTGAGTACACACACACACACACACACACACACACACACACACACACACACACACACACACACACACACACACACACACACACACACACACATCCAATATACCTTTTCCTGGCGGGAAGACCTGTGCGAGTGGGGGGGGGGGGGGGGCATCATTACCCCACTCCCCCAAGTGGCTTCCCCACCATCACCATTGTCTCCAGCTAGTCACCATCTTCACTGTATGCAGTACTGCTATTAACATGCTTTAACAATACTGTATTGCATAACACCATCATTGGCACCACCGCTCATCACCACACAGCAGCATAACACCACCGGTAACACCACCACATAACACCACCGGTAACACCACCACATACCACCACCGGTAACACCACCACATACCACCACCGGTAACACCACCACATACCACCACCGGTAACACCACCACATACCACCACCGGTAACACCACCACATAACACCACCGGTAACACCACCACATACACCACCGGTAACACCACCACATAACACCACCGGTAACACCACCACATAACACCACCACATAACACCACCGGTAACACCACCACATAACACCACCGGTAACACCACCACATAACACCACCGGTAACACCACAGTACAACAGCCACCATCAACACAACATCCGGGGCTGTAACAAATCTCCACTGTATAACCAACGTTGTCCATACAACAACAACAACAACAACAACAACAACAACAACAACAACAACAACAACAACAACAACAACAACAACAACACAAGCTCTGGGAGCTCGCTACAGTCCTCCAGCAGAAGAGTACAAAATACAACATAAGAATACATCGCTGTTTTGAAACCGATGTAGGAGAAACATTTCTCGAATGGTAATTAATATTGATGTATGTGATTGGCTTGCGAGAAACGTGTGGCTCTAGGATGGTTTTGGTTAGGTTTGCCTGGATTGTTCGAGTAATTTAACCGGTTGCTTCTAGGCCTAGGATAACAGGATAACACATGTGCAGGATGAGCCGCACCTTGAGAGCCTATAGGTGCTTGATCCAGCTGATTGGCAAGGTTCGTGGTTCAGTAGTGTGATGAACCGCCATAACACTGCTTCAACGAGCCGTTGGTGTCCGAATCTCCACCACTGCCTGGTCTCAACCTCTCCCAGCCGGCCCCTATCCCCTAGCCCTCCTTACTAACCATTCTCGCCTCGTTTGTCAACAATTCTTAACTATATAAATGGCCGAACTGAATTTCATGATACTGTGTTATATATATGTTCGTTTTTATATGCATTTCATAAAATGTTATATACGAACGATTCGATTTCGAAGTGCGGAACGAACCGGGTTCAAAAACTATGGAATAAGGCTGTGTCCGAATCAATACCCTTCATTCAGCGGATGTCAGCGAGTCGCTTGTGTTCCCAAGCCAAACTGTTTCGTGTTGTTGCGATGTGAACATGTGCAAGGAAAACAATTGCAAAATGGCCACAGCAGCCTCTGAAACGTTGATGGGAATGGTTGTGGAGGGAGGGGGTGTTGCCAGATGTGGAGGGGGGAGTGGGGGGTGGCGGAGGAGGAGGAGGAGGCGGGAGTCTGGGTCCCCCACACACTTGTCGTCTCCATGAAGGCTGGCAGACCCAGCACAGGGCATCTCCCACCACATTGTA